GAGAGGGTCCAGAGGAGGGCCACTCGTATGATCAAGGGACAGCAGGGTAGGTCCTATGAGGAAAGGTTGCGGGACCTGAACCTGTTCAGCCTTCAAAAGAGAAGGCTGAGGGGGGATCTTGTGACCTGTTATAAACTGGTTAGGGGGGATCAGCAGGCGCTGGGGGAGTCCCTGTTCCCCCGAGCGCCGCAAGGAGTGACCAGGAACAATGGTCACAAGCTGGTGGAGGGAAGGTTTAAGTTGGACATCAGGAGGCGCTACTTCACGGTCAGGGCGGCTAGGGTCTGGAACCAGCTTCCATGTGAGGTGGTGCAGGCTCCCACCCTGGGGGGTTTTAAGAGGAGGTTGGATGACCACCTTACTGGGGTCATTTGACCCCAGTGCTCTTCCTGCCATGGCAGGGGGTCAGACTAGATGATCTGTTCAGGTCCCTTCTGACCCTAGAAACTATGAAACTATGAAAAATGGACGGAGGAAGGGGAGAGCATCTTGCCCAAGTTTTCTACACCTCCATTACACCAGAAGTTCCTAATAATGTTCCCTTTAAACAGGATACTTCTTTTAGGTCCTTCCAACATGTATGAATCAGAACTGGATTCTACCAAAAATGGATTTCAACGATTCAATTCAGCTTGCATAAGCTGTAGTTTATTACATCCTGGCTTTCACACATACTTTGCAAGGATTGCAACCTTGACTTGGTGGGAAGAATTGTATGCTACCAATTACCTCAACGATGTTGTTCGGAGTTTTGTACTTCTGATACCCATGGTGGCAAGGTCAACAGTGAGGTTCCTGACTAATACTGATCCAACCTAATTTAGGCTACTGATTCAGAGGTTAAGAAAAGAATACTTCAGGATGGCTACAAAGGTGGGTGAAGACTGCAGCAGAACTGAAACCTCTAGTCATCTAGGCTTTCCTTGCCATCAGATTAAGATTTCCTTTCTGGAAAGTATTATGTGATTGCTGATCTACAGTGGCATCCCCGTGTTAAAAGATGACTCACAGGTGTGTTTTCCTTCAATAGCTAGTCCTATGGCCATGGGTGAGTGGCAACAGAGACAGATGCTAGGTGATTACCAGAAGCTGACCTAGATAGAGTCAATGATTGTATGATAGTCATCTTGTACTTGGAATTGGGAAAAAGTGTGCAATCCAGCAGCTATAATCATGACTGACCAGGCCTATTTATGATGGACTCTGTTCACCCCCTATGGGGAGGAGGCTAGAAAAAAAGAACAAAAAAACCCACGCTAAGCATGATCTGTTTCATTTTACCTGACTAGAAAAATCTTGTCTAGTGGGATCAGTCTGTGGTCTGACTCTATAATCTAGTGAAGGACAGCACCTGTGGCCTGAGACCTTGCAAGATTTGATATTGCTGTGCTTAATGAGATCAGATGTGCAGGATGGGGGCAGTTCATGGACTATGGTGGTGGCTATGCTTTTTTTTCCTGGAAAAGTAAAAAAAAAAAGGTGTGTCCAGAGTGTTGGTTTTGCTATGAAGACCAGAATAATTACTCAAATGCCAGAACATCCAGTTGGCCTCAATAAGCATCTCATGACCCTGTGTGTTCAAGAGACCACATGAAAGAGTCAGTCTATCTGACCTGACCCTTGATGCAGGTAATAAAAGGGATCTGGTCTAAACTTGACCAAGTCCTGTCATCCCATCTGTTCCCAAAGAAGATAATTCTTTTGTGATTTCAGTACTAGAGTGTTGGGGTGGGGGGGAAGGTGGCGGACTGATGGACTCTGAACTACAAAAGAAACATTTGGAAAGGAAGGGGTGGGCACAATCAATTCAAATGAAAAATCTTCTGAGCAGATGTTCAGAACAAGATCTCATCGAACTCCTTATTCCACCAAATCAACAAAATAGAAGATGTCATGAATGTACGTTGTTTAAAACACTGGCACCTGACTGAGTACATCAGCCTAGGACAGTTGCAATGTCCATACCACCATAACTACGGGCTGTGAGGACAACTGTTAAACAGATCATAATTTGATACATTCAGTTATGTCCACTTGTGTCACCCCAAGGGTGGTTCTACAGGACTGAAAATAGCTAAAAAGTCTGTAGCACTGCAAAAAATAAGACTGGGAACAGCAAAAAAGAGAGGCACTGGAAGAAAGGCTAGTTTGATTAGCGGAATATCAAGACCATTAAAAGGAGAGAACTCATTAACACCTGAAATGAATAGCAATAAGCCATTAAGTCATTCAGGCAGCTGTCTGAATAGTAGATACCCAGCAATTGCTTTTAAACAACATTGTATAGGGTAGGAAACAAAGTGGGGTGTTTGTTTGGGCAGAAAGTAAGCTTCTGCTAAAACATGCATCCTAATTTTGGAAGGCTAATTCTGGGGGGCTTGGTATACAAGTAAATCAGCATTTGGGCGTGGCATGCTAAGATTTGCATTGCCTCCTGGCATTACCTTTTTGTAAATGATACTTACAGTGCACTATTTGGAATTACAGGGAAAAAGTAAAAGAAAAACCAGCTTACACAAAAAACAAAACAACCCATATACATTCTTTACAGTTCTGAGATTTTTTGCCATTCTTCAAAAACTGGCTAATTTCAATTAAAAGTAAAATTTCTTTGACACTTTGTAACATCCAAGATGTTTATTATAAGCTTCAACATTAAAATTACAGCAGTTTAAGTAATAGAAAAGAAATATCTACAGTTGACACTTAAGTGATCAAATCATTTATCCATATTAATTAAGGTGTTATGGCAAGCAGGGACTGACAAATCTAGTATTCGAAAGTCCTAATTCACACACAGCTGCTCATCTAACCAAACACAATGTCAATTACTGCTTAGATTAAAAAAACCCAACATGATCTTAGGGATAAAAGTGTATCCTTTTGGCCCATACTGAAATTCCTGTACCACCTAAAATTAAAGAATATATGTTAGAGGAATGTACTTTTCTGTACAAACATACATTTATATTTCCCTTGTAGAGCTTGAAGGAGACATTTCAAGACCATATAAGACTAAAGGTGCTTTTACAAGCACCAAGTTTATATAGCAAATTTATTCCTCAGCCTTTCGGTCTCAAAATTCGACAGCAAGGTGTTCAAGGATTTCTCAGTGACAACCAACAAACACCTCGTTGTATTTGGACAGAGATTTTTTTTTAGTAGAACTCTTTCCATCAGATTTTTTCTGCTTGAAAATTGGCGAATTCAGAAAGCAAGCATCTGTAAACGGATCTCCTCTTCTGAGTTTCCTGTTAAAATAATTTAGCAAAATTATAAATTTTGAAAAAAGTGTTAGATGCAAAAACATTAGTGTAGTTCACAGCTTGGAAGTCAGATTTTACAGTTCTTATTACTAATACAAAATTTGCAAATCCCAAGCCTCCAAATTTAAAACGTTTTCCCCACAAAATCCAAGTCCACTAACAAGCCCAACCTGTAAATGAGCCCTCAACAGCTTATATAACAGCAAATAATATACTAACCCAGAAATACTTGGTTCCTTATAGTTCACACTGACGGTACATCTGCGTTTGCAGTTGGGAGCTCCTATTCTTTCTTCAATATTAAGGACTGGCTGAGAGATGCTATTTTTTTTGTCACGAAATGAGATGTTGGTAACATCAGAGAGAGAAGGACGAGCACCCTCAGATGACTGGGCAGGTACCACAGCTGAAAAATGTAATGAATATTTATCATTAGTGTTGCATTGTTCTACCACTATTATTCATTTAAATTCACTTGCATGTAATACTTCCTAAACTGAGGATTGAAAGGTTTCCCCATTGAGAGAAAGATCTCTGGTCCTCAATACCAATGAGCTCTAGCAATTGGTTTAAAACACAAAAAATAAAAAATAAAAACTCCCACACTGACTTCATTTGTTTAACCTTCTTATTTCAGCCAGTAATTTCTGCAGAAAGCCCACAACTTCTGCTCAAGACATCGTTTTTAGAAATCTAGCTAGACTTTAGAAGACCCTTAAATGATATAGGAAAAGAGCAGATTCTACATGTAAATTGTTTTAAAAGTTACTCCTTTAAAAATTTGCCCCTTATTTTTAGTTTCAATTTGTCTAACCTCATCTTCCAACCATTTGATAATGTTTTTCTGTACTAATTAAAAAAAGCTACTTAGCTAATAGTAGGCAGTAGACATTTAGTTTATTCATAATGTTCTCTAGTACAGCAGTTCCTAAACTCTGACAGATTGTGCACCACCCATTTAAAACAATACAACCTTAAGTACCACCAGAGAATTTTTATCATATAAAGTAATTATATGAAATCTGTTAATGTGTACCACCGTCAGGTTGTCTGCGTACCACTGGTGGCACCCATACCACAGATTGGGAACCGCTGCTCCAAGACAAATAAATAGACTTCTTAAGTCTCACCGTAAGACATTCCCCAGGCTTCTAGTCTTTATTGTAGCTCTTTACTCATTTAATCATCATTGGAAGCATGGACACAGCAACCCAGTAATGGCTTCAACACCAATGCAGAAGCAATACTCCCTCACTTCAACTTGATATTCCAGTGCCTGTACATCCAAAGATCACGTTAGCTTTCTCTTACCTACCATCTTGTAATGAAAGCTCATGTTCCATTGTTTATCGTATAGGATCCCTGCATGCTTTGCAGCGTCATTCTCGGTCAGGGGCAGGCATTATTTTGGGCGGAGGGCTGCTTACTGAGTTTTGGCAAGCCATTGAGGGCCACGTGATAGGCAGCCAGGGCAGATGAATATTAATTTTCTAAATTTTTTTATAGTTTCATAGTTTCACAATTTCTAGGGTCGGAAGGGACCTGAGCAGATCATCTAGTCCGACCCCCTGCCATGGCAGGAAGAGCACTGGGGTCAAATGACCCCAGTAAGGTGGTCATCCAACCTCCTCTTAAAAACCCCCAGG